TGTAATTCTATGTGCAGTTGTATGCACTCTTTACCTAATTCTACATAATAGTGAAAAATTCTATGTAACTCTAGAAAATCTTGCATAATNTAAAACTATATAATTGTAAGGAAGAATTTTTTTGAAATAACTGTCTCCTCTAACTGTTTCGATTAACATTAGAACGTCAAAGAACTATTATTCTATTATTTTTTTTTTATCTTTTAATTTTCAGATTTTTCAGCTCCTTTTCCCACTTTTTGAAACTAATACAAAACTATAGTAATTTAATCTAGTGAAACCCGATTCGATACAATTCAGGATAATTGAATTTATCAAAAGTATTGTAACGCTTTACCTATTCTTATCCGGGTTTAACAGTTATGCCATAGAAAATAAAATTCAAAATAAAGAAAAAAATAAATAAATAAAATAAATTCCACTTTTAGTTGCTTTATATTATTAGAAATTACTTTGAAAAGTAACAGATTTAATTAAAAAAGAGCAACGAAATTCCTACTCTATTGCGTTTTGTAATGAAAAAAGGTAACAAAAACTGCATTCGGGTTGCATAAAAATCTGCACGAAAGGTTGAAAATATATAAATATATATTTTTTTTTCTTAATTTTTAACCTTTTTTCCCTCCTTTCCTTCTCCTTACTTTTGTATAAGATAATCTCAGTTTACATATGTAGATGCGGCGAAGACGAACAAAAGACGTAACAAAATATCCCGTAACTGCTTTTATTCATTAATATAATAACTCTGTCAAATACATTAAAGTTTCTTAAATTAAATACTGCATCTAAATATCATTTAAAACCCGAAATAACGCGTGAAAATTCGATTCCGACTAGAACAATACGAAAAATTATAATAGTCCGTTCGCATACTTTACAAAGATCGTAAGCAAAGTACAAGAAAAATGAAGATATTTATCGAGTTTTAACGATTTGCATAAGCTGTAAAATGAATAAAAAAGCTAGTTTACTGTACAATATAAGTGATAAAAATGTACAGAAAAAAACAATACAGTAAATTGTAATGTTAAGTTAAACGTAAAAACAATAAACAGTACTCGATCAGACGTGGAGGGAGAAAAAAAAAATGAATGTTAAATGTATTATTATGGCATTTTTTAGTATAAATATCCCGCAGTAAAATATATTTTATTTATTTTTATTTTGTGATAAACTATAAGTTGGAAAAATTCATTTCTACTTGTTTAGTCAAAGGAATAAATAAACAATTTTTATAAATTCGTTTCCAGTTCGGATCGAATATTTCTCGCATACTTATAAAAAAATATACAAAATTTAAAAGAAAAAAAAGGGGTAATTTATATAAACAAATGAATAAATAATAAATTATATGTATTTTATGTATTGTTCTGATGCATTTTTAAGGTTTTTCTGTCAAGTTATCGACTTTGCAGGTTAAAATATTGTGATAATTTACGCTGTTTATACAGGTTTTTACATTAAACCTGCGTAAACCGGACTCGAATATCTTTACCGGTTTGGCAGGTTTCCGTTTTGAACGGGTTTTACTGTATTAACTTAAACAAACAAAGCGATTCTCATAGCGCTTATGGTGCTTAGACGTGAATGGTTCTCTTTAGAACATAGATTAAAACAAATGGTTCTCATTGTTTATAAAGTAAACTATTCTTTGAGAGTATTAAGCTATTGAAAAGTTTTCATATTGCATAAATCAATGAATAAGATTCTTTGTGAATAAGACAATAAGCTCTTCTCATAGAGCAAAGAGTGATAAAGACTCTCGTAAAGCAAAGACTAATAAACAATTTTCATAATGATTTCGATCAATAATTGTTCTTATAATTCAAATATCAATAAGAGCTTCTCATAGCGCTTAAAACAGTAAAGGTTCTCATAATTTTCTTATAGTTAAACGTCAATAAATGTTATTAAAGTAAGAGTACCAAAATGAAGGACCAACAAATGATTCACAGACTAATAAATTCTCATAGTAATTAGATTAATGAACAAGTCTTCTATTAAATTAGTTTAATACACTTCTCATAGTATAAATATATATTAACAAATGGTTTTATTGATAAATGTATAAATTAATTTAATTATTATTGTAAAAGACTCGTGGCACCCGCAATCCCGATACTTGTCCATAGCGAATTTATTTATAGAGCTGTCAATTTCCTATACGAATTCATTAATTCTGAAATATTTTTGCAGATATATTGATTTAAATTGATCAATGAAAACTAGATTAATCAAAATATCCTAGTTAAATATCGACTATTATGTACCTTTTTTTTTTAAAAAAAAATTAATAAATATAATAAAAATCTCTGTTCTTCATTCATCTAAGCTTCAATTTTTTTTAAACCAATTTGGGTAGGTCCTGTAGAATCTTAAATTTTCGCGAATATATTAAAAAAAATTCATAAATTTTACAGGAAAATGAATTTTTGCGATAAAATATGCCTTCAATTTTATACTGGGAATGCTTAAAAGCGTAAAATTATCAGATTAAATAAAGGAAAAAAAAAAATTAATCCGTGCGAGGAAAAGAAGCGCTATAACTATAAGGATATTCGAGATTTATCCTTCTCCGTTCTATTTGCTATTCTGCAAATATTAAAGCCAAATGTTGCATAGTAAATACGATTATTTTCTACATAAAATCATAATAAAAATACATATACGTATGTACACTTTTATATAGAGCATAGATCTGTCTTTCATACAGCTATTTTCTGGTAAATGCGTTAGATAGTATAGAAAAACATATCGATTTAATCGCATGGACAGCTTAATTATAACCACACATATATACACATAATTGTTAACAATTGATCAAAGAATTGACTTAAACGTCCTATGATCATCTTTTTCCGCATCACTATAAGCGTTTGATGATAAATGATGTAAGAAAGTGACCATCCTACTAGAAATCGAATCGGTCTATGAGGATGGCCATTATTTTTCTATCTATAGAAGGGAATATTTCGTATAATAAATGATTTCGGTGCATATTTAAAAGGGGGTAGAAGTGACTTACCTGAAAAAAACAATTTTTAAGAGAATTCTCTTTGACACGGCATCGAATTTTCGTTAGAAAAGTTTATATTTGAATATTACAAAGGTTACTTAAGCGCCTCTTAATCCGATTTACTTAAGAATTAAACAAATTTAATCATTTCTCTTAAAACTAGATCTTTTCTGATATTAATTAATGATTACAAGTTAATGAGAAGTATAAGTTAGAGGCAATTAAAGAGTAAATCTAACAGAGCAGCTACACATATCAATTTTTTATCATATACTATTAACTAACTATTTTTCTCTCCCTCCATTTTCTAGTTCATTTATTAATTAAATTAAATAAACGATATTTAAAAAAAAAACTTACAAAATTGATGATATAATGTTTGTTTTACTTTGTTTAAACAAATCACAAAACCTGTTTTTGATACTCCTTTTTTTTAAATGTAAATTTAGAACAGTCTCTGATGATTTTTCCTTAAATTTAAACCATTTTTTTTTTTAATGTTCTTTGATAAATTTGGCGCATTATTTCTCATATATTTAGGGCTGTTCCTGGTAATTTTTCACATAAATTCAATAAATACGAAACAATTTCTAGTATTTTACATACAAATCTGCCATGCTTTTCCCAAATTTAACAGTATCTTTGGTAATTTTTTTTAAATATATTTGCAACAGTTTCTAATGATTTTCTTATAATTTTAGACCATTTTCTCATGCTTCTTCCTAAATTTTACACACAAACTTATGATCTTTTTTGTAATTTTCTGAAATTTTGTTCTGATGCATTTTTAAGGTTTTTCTGTCAAGTTATCGACTTTGCAGGTTAAAATATTGTGATAATTTACGCTGTTTATACAGGTTTTTACATTAAACCTGCGTAAACCGGACTCGAATATCTTTACCGGTTTGGCAGGTTTCCGTTTTGAACGGGTTTTACTGTATTAACTTAAACAAACAAAGCGATTCTCATAGCGCTTATGGTGCTTAGACGTGAATGGTTCTCTTTAGAACATAGATTAAAACAAATGGTTCTCATTGTTTATAAAGTAAACTATTCTTTGAGAGTATTAAGCTATTGAAAAGTTTTCATATTGCATAAATCAATGAATAAGATTCTTTGTGAATAAGACAATAAGCTCTTCTCATAGAGCAAAGAGTGATAAAGACTCTCGTAAAGCAAAGACTAATAAACAATTTTCATAATGATTTCGATCAATAATTGTTCTTATAATTCAAATATCAATAAGAGCTTCTCATAGCGCTTAAAACAGTAAAGGTTCTCATAATTTTCTTATAGTTAAACGTCAATAAATGTTATTAAAGTAAGAGTACCAAAATGAAGGACCAACAAATGATTCACAGACTAATAAATTCTCATAGTAATTAGATTAATGAACAAGTCTTCTATTAAATTAGTTTAATACACTTCTCATAGTATNTATTATTTTAAAGGTTTTTTTAGGGATTTAAAAACGATATATTTAGCCCGAAACTTATAATTTATATAAGGTTTAATATAAACCATAGAAAGGCTTTATATAATGTGGATTTTACATTAGAATCTAGAATTTTTACCTTTATTTTTTCTAGAAATGAGATGTTCTAGAAAGAATAAGAATGGTCCAAATACAAAATCATGTGGTTTTTGCGGGGCCTCGGGGAAAAGTTATTAGTGGAGGGCCCAAAAACGAATTTTTTTAAACAAATTTGAAAGCGTGAGGCCCCTCTGAGCGCTGGGCCCCGAAAAGCCGACGTTCGAGCGATTCGAAACGATGTTAATTAACGCGCCTTTAAATCATTTAATATAAATTCTATCAGCTTTCGGAGTTTGAATTTAATTATAAATTTAACATAAATCATACGGATTTAAAATGTCTTTACACTTTGATAAATAATGAGCAGATATAAAGCAATTAAATCAGTAAAAAGAGCCGCCATAACATAAAGAACTGATTATAGAGAAAGAGAGAATTCCAGAACCTTACCTTATGTTTTGTAGCTTATCCACCAAAACTAATCTGCAGTTTCCTGTTATTCGTTGGATATTTTCGAAAATAGAATATATCAAATGGCGACGAATCTATAATTAAAAAAATATATATATAAGACGTCAAATCATCAATATTTACTTATTGAAACATCATGAGCTTTTTTAAGAGATCCTTATCAGATTGCATTAAGCGTGATAAGGTATCTCGGTCTTTATAAGTCGATAAGTTTCCTTAAAAATGGAATAAAAACGAGTTTAGGAACCCTTTGTAATGATGATAAAGTTGTTAATCATCATCGACTCGATTCGTAGGGATTTGAATAAAGAAGTGCAACGTGTAACGCTATCAGAGTCATTCGACTTTACCTTGACTCTAATTATAGTTTAACCTATTTTGAATGCTTTAATTCTTATCAAATTAACCTTAAACATTAATAATATATACTACAACCAGTCGACGTTAGACTAACGGGTTGAAAAACCCTATACGGAACCCGAAACGTTTCGAATTTTCACCGTAATAAATCCAATTATACCCTTCATTTAAATGGAATTCTGTGTTATTGGAACCGAGGATTTCGCGAAGAAAATGAAGACGATGTCGTTTATAGTCATGTGGTTTTGACCGTAGGGACCCGTGAATATTCATCACCTTATTGATAATATCGTGTAGGGTTCTTAATGACGACAACCGTTCCGATGGGATGGGATCGAGCGACAAAAACCGGAAGTGGCAATCACGTGGTGCAAAAGATGCCCATTACACCCATCTGCTATCCCATATAGGGTAGCGAATCGTCACCTACACTTAACTGACCCTATTTTCGTACTTTATATTCGATAGAACCTATGAAAGTGACCGAACGTAAAAGGGGGGTGTCGCTAAGCAATTTCTTAGAGTAGAGAGACAGTCGTTCCAGTTAACGATCCCTAAACGTGTCCCTATGATATAAACGCATCGGTCGAACGTACGAAAGCTCGCATTTATACTTCCGATATATGTTTAATTAAATTCTTCGTACGATAACTAAATACACATTGTTTTAAGTAGGGCATAAATTTTTACCTGTTTTATGAGCTTGGATCTTTTCCACTTTTCGACGAGGAATATGGCGCTATTACGTGTGTACAGAAGGGAAATGGTCCAGCTTATGTCCTCCAAACGGATAACGCCATCTGGTGGCGGCTCACGGACTTTCGCAACGGTGGTGGTGATGATGATGACGACGACGACGATGATGATGATGGTGATGACCACGCGGCTCTTTTCTCTAAGCGCTTTGCATGGACGCAAAGACCTTCAACCCAATCGAACATCTTTCCATATTTCCTACCATTTTCGTGATATTAGTGTCGAGGAGTGTTGTGGTGGTGTATATATGTATGAAACAATGGATAAACTTACCTGTTCTTCTGTGTGAACACGTGTAAGGAAAGAGAGGAGACCTCTGGGATCTATTGTCCGCACTTCCGTTTGTCTGAGTAAAACCCTGTTTCTCCCCCAAAGACTAATGCCAATCGTTTGGTGACTAGAAACGAATTAAATGTTCTAAAATTCTGATTAAATTTCGAAAATTCTCATTAAAATCGATTGATGGATAAGGTCAAAATTCATCTAACACAAACAGTTTTATAGACGTTCCGGTTGTTCGAATATTTTCCCAAATTGTTACTTAATCCTCTTTTCGACTGTTAAACAGCGAGTAGAATCACCTTGAAATATTCTATTTAAATATTTAGGTCATTTCGCAGCATGATTTCTTACGCTTTCTTATTTTTAATATACTTTCCTATTTTTAGTACTCTTTCAGTAATGTAGATGGCGACGCAAATAAATTTCTAAATTTCCAGCAATTTTTAATACTTTCGACATAAATTTAGTACTTTTCCTAGTGATTTTCTCATAAATTTATTATAATTCCTGATGATTCTCCTTACAAACTGACAATCGATTTCTGATGATTTTCTTCACGAATTTACGCTAAAACAATTTAATTTTGTGAACAAAAACGTTGATTTAATATTAATAAAATAGTTAAAAGAAGATATATAAAAGCAAAAAATAAAAAAAAAAAGACGATAAGAGAAATTTTACGTGATATTATTTAATTCAATTTTATGAAGATTTGACGAAACATGGCCGATCTATAATGGATATTCTTCAGTAGAGTATAGCAGCAACATTGACTCAAAAAAAAACAGTTTATAAAACCTTAATAATAATTTGATTGATATCGATTCACTTGGCAACTTAAGCTACCATTTATTTCTTACTATTTAATAATTTAAGCAACATATTTAAAAGGTAGAAAAGATAGGAANAGTGTCGAGGAGTGTTGTGGTGGTGTATATATGTATGAAACAATGGATAAACTTACCTGTTCTTCTGTGTGAACACGTGTAAGGAAAGAGAGGAGACCTCTGGGATCTATTGTCCGCACTTCCGTTTGTCTGAGTAAAACCCTGTTTCTCCCCCAAAGACTAATGCCAATCGTTTGGTGACTAGAAACGAATTAAATGTTCTAAAATTCTGATTAAATTTCGAAAATTCTCATTAAAATCGATTGATGGATAAGGTCAAAATTCATCTAACACAAACAGTTTTATAGACGTTCCGGTTGTTCGAATATTTTCCCAAATTGTTACTTAATCCTCTTTTCGACTGTTAAACAGCGAGTAGAATCACCTTGAAATATTCTATTTAAATATTTAGGTCATTTCGCAGCATGATTTCTTACGCTTTCTTATTTTTAATATACTTTCCTATTTTTAGTACTCTTTCAGTAATGTAGATGGCGACGCAAATAAATTTAACATTTTCTATCGTAAAAAAAATTTTATTTTATTTTAAAGATATCATTAGAAATATTATTTTATATTTTGAACATTTTAATTATATATTTTTTCTACATAAAACTTTTAAATAATAATATATTTTTACTTAATCATAAAAAATATTTTCAACAGATGGCGTTACAAGGTTAAGATAAATTTACATATTTTTATAAATTAAAATAAATTTCGAAATTTTATTTAAATGTTTTAAATTTTTTAATTACTAAATTAATTAATTCTTTTTGCTTTCGCGTAAATATTTTAAATTTGTAAAATAAAATGTTTCCATTTATAAAATCAATACGTTTCATTCAATTTGCTGCGGGGCAGAAAATCTTAAACTATTGTTAATTAAATTCGGATTGAAAAAAGTTAAAAATTCCACATTTTAAGCATTAAAAAAATATTTATTTCCTTTTTATATTTCACATTATTGATTACGATCCTTATAATTATCAATGACTTACATCAGTTCCGAATTTAAATGTGATCTTATCCTATCCAATCCTTCAGGAAGCATGCACGTGTGCATAATATATTAATATATAGACATTTATATATATATATAAATTACATATTTTTCTACTTTAGCTAATAACGGATAAGAAAAAACAAGTTATTTTATTAAATATAATTTTAGGTTAATTAATGGTCCAAGGGAAAGAAGTAGTTTCAAGGCTAAGTTACTCCGATATTAAAACTATTAAGTTATCAGTAGGATGACGTTTTATATATTTAAAATGGCAATTTGTAGAAAAAATATTCTTTCGCACAAAATTTTAAACTATATCTTTAATAATCCAGCAATGAGTTGCGTAACTTTCCCGGTAAAAAAGTTAAAATTAAGAGATTTTATTGTTAAAAAATTTTATTATTATTTATTATAAAATGGAAAAAGGGCTAATTTTGAGAATAGAGATGAGTTTTATAAAACATTTTAATTGTTAATAACGAGTAAAATCTTTATTAAGCCCAATCCTACTCGAGATAGAGAGAATCGTGTGCTGTATCTCTCCACTCGCTCGACTTTTAATAACCACCAAGAGGAATCTCTTGTCAGTTGATACTATTCCAATCGGATTTTAAAAGTGCGATATCTACCAAAAAATGAGAAATTTAAATAAATTTTTCATATTTTCTATGACGTGATTTTATAAACTTCGATTAAAAGTACGTTAAAGAGGTGACTGGAACTTTGAAACAACGATTTATGAAGTAAAACTGCACTTCCAAGAAAATTAGAATTAAAAAAAAAAATTAGAAATGCTGGATCAGTGCTGTAACGTTTCGGTTTGAAACACCTAAGGTTCATATAGCCTACTTTTGGAAGCAAACTTATCCACGATTACTCTGTACAGCAGATTTGAACTAACTACATGTATAGCGATCTGATCAATCTCTTTTCGCGATTACAAACGCCAGATAGGATCGACTGATCGCGATCAAACTAATCCGAGCANAAATTAAGATTAAAAAAAAAAATTAGAAATGCTGGATCAGTGCTGTAACGTTTCGGTTTGAAACACCTAAGGTTCATATAGCCTACTTTTGGAATCAAACTGATCCACGATTACTCTGTACAGCAGATTTTGAACTAACTACATGTATAGCGATCTGATCAATCTCTTTTCGCGATTACAAACGCCAGATAGGATCGACTGATCGCGATCAAACTAATCCGAGCAGAGGGTAGGGTCAGATAAAGATTAACAATGGAAGTCGCCATCTTAAAAATCAAGCTTATAGTTGACAGCAAAAATGTTTTAAACATTTTTTATTGTCGATAGTTAAACTTATAAATGGTAAGTAAAACCATTTATAAGTATAAGTAAAAATATTAATATATCCGATAAACGGACGTAAAAATAAGTAGAGAATTTTGCGAGATAAGGCAAGAGTGTATGGCCGGCCTGCACTTCCATTTTGCTGTTTTATGAGAAATTTTATTCACAGTAAATACGATACGAATAACTTTCCGTCAACTAAAACAAGCAATCTGTATCAGGTGACAGACTGAACGTAACAGTACAAAATTATACTTAGTGATCCGCTCTAATAGATACAGAACTTGAGTATCCATCTGAAATGAAAACTAACTAAAAAAGTAATATCGTAACTATTGCATGTTTTGGTAGTACCATACATTTTGTTGTACTCTGTTTCCCTCAACTTCACCATTTGCAGTTTTACAACGAGCCATTTCTCTCCCCATGACGAAGGAAACATCCGCGTTTGGAGAGGAAACATTTTAGAGTACAAAAACATTGCAAAATCAAATTCTATTAGTAAACAGATTTAATTTGCCGCCATACACAATCTTGCTGGAAAAAATGGTGAGGGCCAGAGCAAAGTTCTAGTGGGACCACGGTCGGAATAAAGCAAAATTTAAGTGGTTTTCGTAATCTAAAATTTCAGAAAATGCACATTTCTTGCTTGTGAACAAAGATGATATGACGACCCATTCACGCGTATTTTATTTAACATTTTTTCCCCCACCCGACGGATGTTTACCATTAAAAAACACATTTACATGCAAAAGGTCTGGTGAGTATATTACGAGAAACCTCAAATTTAGCGCCACTCTTTGTTCGCCTTTGAAGTTTTTCATATAGATGTATGCTAACACGTTTTAAATTCGAAGGCTGAAAATTACATAGTTTAACGTGAAGGTCTGCTGCAATACAAGATTTACTATTTTGAGGTCACAAAACATTAAGCTGAAAGTTTATTTCTTAAGTAAAAATAATTATGAAAAGCATTTATATATCGAAAAGCTTAGTAAGTACTGTTTAATTTAGACGTTATAACGTGTTAACATTACATAAATATCAGTCTCTTAACAACAATATCTCCCTTAACTACAATAAATTTCGCACGAGAGAGGCTCAGACGATGTAGGAACGTTTTAGGAGCTTCGTCATTGACGCTGACGTGGAAACCGGTCTCGCTGCAATGAATGATAATTTCGAATCTCGCACCATCTCTAAACGGGAAATCGTTCCAACGGACTTCGTCCGTACTCCATTCGCCGCCATCTCGAGTATTTAGAATTACCTGCTTACTTTGAAATCTGGGGTTGTAGTGAAATACTACATCGGCATTTTCGGTAAGTTCTGCTTGGTAGTTTATGTGAAATCTGGAAAAACCAATCATTTGTACTTATTGATACTAAAAAACATTTAATAACGGAAGGAGAAAGTTACCTTTCTGCTCCAGGAGGTACTACTGCCGATATGCATAAAATATTGCCTGCCATGGCTTCATTAATGTCAAGTTCAATAGGCAGTTGCTGTCAAGAAACAAAAACAGTTTTATATATGATAATTAAGAATTAAAAAAAAAAGGTAACTTACAGGATTGTACTTATCCTCTTTCCAGTCTGAACTGAATATAATTTCTTCTAGACCGCTTCCAGGTGGCATGGACTCCTATGAAAATAGTTGCTTAAAACACGAAAGCTATAGCACTTAAAACTATGATGATATACTTACTGGAGGAGCGTCAATAGAGATATCGTCCATTCGTACTCCACCTTCTATATTTAAAACGCAAGCTTGAGTCATATCCATACGGTGAGAGAAAGCAGTAAATTTAGTTCCGTTAACCCAAACGTGGTAAGTTTCGTTTCGGGGCACTATCATAATGCTAAAATCTTGAGACCTATCGAAAGGGAATCCGCCATCCTTTTCTTCCGCACCCCATTCGCCACCATTTCTGCAATTTCGAACAACTTCTCCTACGTTATATCGCGGATTTACGTGCAGAGTTATGTCAGAGTCTGATGATTCTCCGGTTTGAAAGTTAATGGAAAAACTAGAAAAAAGAAAGCTCTAAGCACATAGGAGAGGAGAGAGGGGAGGTAAAGAGTTTATAGTCTCACCTATCTTCATTCGGCAAAAGGCGACCTGTCATAGTAAAGACACTACTCTTTTGTATATTACCAGGTATAGTAATTTTATTTGTGTGAATCTAGAAAAAACAAACACAAAAGCGCTAGATATTATTAGCAAGTTTAAATTTGGATTAAAACCTCCCCAAAAACAAAAACCATACAATATCGCCTAGAGGAAAATGTAGGCCAGGTAATCTTAGATCCCCGGATATTAGAATGTGAGTTGCCTTTGAAGCCGCTACTCTATAAGCAACAACGTCGAGATGTTCGTTGTTTACAGCAACCTAAAAAATGAAAAAGGGAGGACATTAATAGAGTTAAAATTTTTTAGTAGTTTAAAAGTACTGTACATACATCGTATCCATCCGCGGAAGCAGTCAATTCCAAAAGAAATGGTTTTTCAGGTTCAAAAGAAGCAACGCACAGGGCCTTTTCTTCCTCCTCATTCCATTCGCCATCGGCACAGGTACTGAAGATCACAGAGTTTCTTTCAAAGAGTATATCCATATGTAGACATACATCCGCATTCTCTGCGAGTGAAGTCCGAATATCAACGGAAAGCCTCCAGAAAAAAAGAAAAAAACACACATTACAAATAAAGATCACTCCAGAAAAAAAAAAAAATGTATTTGAAAAGAGTCAAGAAAATCTTACTTTTTAGCATCCGCTTTGGGTAATCCATGGATGAATATTTTTGCACCATTATCAAATGGTTCAATTATGCGGACTGTACATGGGACTTTCTAGAGGGGGAGAAACAGTTCAAAAATTATTGACTTACCTAAAAAAAAGTCCGAAACTTGTCGCAGATTAGATTAAATCCGCTCGAAGTGAAGTATTAAAAAGATCGCGGAAGTTTGAAAAAGATCGCCCACGTTGGGAGAGAAGAATTTTATTACCGGAATTTTAAAAATAGGACGTAGCGAAACATTTAGATTTTACAAGGAGGAAAAGGAAAAGTAAGTCATTATTTACTTACAAGACCAAAATAGTGAAGTCCTCTATTGACCTGAGCTACTTCTAAAGTGCTGATCCAATGGGTCATGATGACTGTTCGCGACTGAATTCACCTCTCTGCAATGCAGACAGAAGGAAAATGCACAAGTTAATGAGACAGAAATACTTTTATACATTTACTCTTCTTCGTTCCCTCTAGCGGAGGAGTTGAGAAACATTTTGGGTGCGGTCGACAGAACGTTCCTATTGGAGAAACTAGTCCTAATATGTATATTTAACTTAGATTTTGCAGTTGTGATGTCATACTTGGATCTATCCCAAAAGTATTATTATACTTTAAAATTGAATAAATTAATTTAAAATATTAATATAAGTATTTAAAAAAATAAAATAAATTTTAAATAAAACACAAAATTTTATTTATTTTTTTTAATTAATAATCCACGTGTCTAGTTGTTATTTTTAGTTATTTCGTCTGCTTAATTCGATTTTCTGTCAAATCGTACGTCTTTTCCCTTAAAATTATTATTCGTAAATGACGGTAGATTATTTTAAAATTTTAATATTTAATTTATTTATAAACAAAATATATAAATTAATAAACGTTCAGCATATTAAACTGAGTCTATGGTAAAATATCTAGGTAGAGAGACACCTGTCGTTGGCGACGTCACGATCATTATTTAATTAATTAAAATTAATGAATATAAAATACAATTTTGCATAATATCTTATTATTTTTATACATTAGATAATGTTTAAAATATTTAAATAAATATATATTATTAAGTATTGAATACTATAATTTTTATAGAGGTATTTCATAATTTTATATTTTTTTATTTAGCCGATCAATATTAAAAATTATTATTTTACCAGTTTGTATAATAAAATATAGTAGTTACTTTAAAAATTATAACAATAAATAATTAAAGAAAACTAATATGATTTTTTAAATTTTATCGATACTAGATGGCAGCATTAACAACCATAATTTATGATAAAAATTAAAAATCATTTTATAAGAAAACTATTAAAATATTCCAGTTTAATTTATTAATACTTTCTTTAATTTTATAAATAAAATAAAATTGTTTAATTAATCATTTTCTAAAAATTTTACGTATTTAATTTATATATATAATTAATCCTGAAAAATTATATTACTTAAATAGTCAGATGTCTACTATCATTATGAAATGTTGTTATATATTTTTATATAAACCATTACTAAAATTAATATCCTGCATGTTGAATGCTCGTTGGTATATACGGTTATCGATTACCATATCATCGACAACGCTCGATCTATAAATAATCAGAGAAATATTGATTAAAGAAAATCACGTCGGGATATGTATTTCTCTGGAATATTTTTGATATTTGAGATCGATAATTGGTATTAATTTCTTCAAAACTTGCCTATTAAGGGCTCGAAGATCCTCCGTGAGGTCATTTAGTAAGGATGAGAGATCACGAACAATATTGCCGATTTGAACTAAAATCCATATGACTCAATTAAAAATGGCGGATGTTTAAGTCAGTGGATTACTTTAAATAAAAAAAATTGTTAGAAAAAGACAAATATTTATTTTTATCGTTAGGAGTTTAATGTTTATTATGATTCACTTTTACTTCGTTTAATTATTAATGTATCATTATGAAATAATAAACCATAATAAATAGATTGTCATTCAATGATCATATATGAAAAATGGTGCTTCTAATACAGATTTGTTGACTTTATGACGCAATGTATTAATTTGTAATTGATTCAGTAATTAATTTTAATAATCGCTAAGATGGAGGCTTGTTACGGGTCGAGTTCGTATCAGAAGATACTAAATTAACAGCGCGTTCCCGTTAGTACCCTACAGATTTTACTCGTCACCTTCTTTTAGTACATGTACAGAAAGAGTTATCATAAACTTATCATAATTAAATGATCGTAAGCAAGAAAAACTGGCCTCAATTTTGTAAATAGTAAGTGTCCATTATCCATAATGGACATGCCTGACATGAACGAAGAATGGACGGCGGATGCCTGAGCGGTTAAGTTAGCAGTGTCTACTGCAAGAGTTTTTCGGGAGGTGATCCGTCCGGATACATCAGATTCCGTTCCCCACCACCCTACCATTGTAGACTTAAATTAATCGAATCCATAATGGGCTGCTTAAAAAAAACTTCTCAGGATCCATAGCGTGGAGTTTTAAAAAACTGGTTGAGAAAAGTGCCGAGAAAGTCGGAGTAAAAGATTTCGAACAACTATCGTAGATTCAAATTCATATTTCTTACGTCCTCGAAGGAATAGGCCTTATATTGTTACTACTTCATAATTATTTGATCTTTAATTTACTGTATCTATATTTGTAGATATTCATTTATAGTTCATAATTATTTGACAGAAAATAAGCTATAACCAAGGCATCGTTTATTAAACAAGATTTAAAATGTTTTAATTTTATTGATTGATCAACAGTATTCGGAATGCCATGGAATGAAACAAATACTTCATACATAAATTCTCATTGGTAGTAATGTATATACTCGTCACTTATGAGCAATGCATAGATACTTTCAGTTTTTCTTTTTAGGCCATAGTTGCCTCGCGGGATATGAAAATTATGCTATAAGATTTATGTTCAAAATATATACCAACTCAGAAAATAGATCTGATTCTTTGTTACTATTAATTAACATTTACACGAGTGCGATAATTTTCACCTGGGCAAGATTAATCAAAAGAAATATATATTAGTTAAAACGATATTAGAAATTTTTATTTTCGATGAATTTCATTAAGTCTTAAATAAAATTAGAACGAAACGGAAGTTTCATTGAACTAGAGCATTCGTTAATTTTCATGAGAAACATTACGGCCGGATGGCTTAGCGGTTAGAATGGCGGCACCGCTTTTAAAGTACCCGAAATCGAATAAAATAAACATGAATCGGTCACTGTGAATGATGTCGGTTAAATGGACGCGCAATAAGATATTGCCAATGGATTCTGATTCAAAATCCATTGAGATAATTTGTTGTGAATAGTATGAATAGGAGTATCGATTTTCATTTCTCACTATTCTGATCGACCCCATTAAGGGTAAGGCACGCCCGTAATGGGCGAAATTGTGTATTATATAAACTAGTAATCATGGTGTCTAATCGATCAATCAGCGATCGGTATTTTCTGAGAATCCATGTTCTACAAGCAGATTCGAACTCCGACCTCTCAAGGTAATAATGACTGTATAATTACACTTTTATAAAGTTTTATGAATGTAAACTAGGGTTTCTCATTTCCCGGTATTTTGCTTGTCCCGGGATCCCGGGATAAAAGTGAACTGTTTCCCGGGATCCCGGGAAATCCCGGGATAGAATTAATTATTTTTAAGGTATACAAAATATCTTGAAATCAAATGATATAATTATTTTCCATTTTTTAAAGTAATTTTAAAGTTCTGTAACCTCCAAAATCATATTAATAATGCTGTGTAAGGTCTATAGGCCTATAATAAAAATTACCTTTAAATAACGTAGAAATTTTCACAAATAGAAAAAAATTAATTAAAGTTTGCTGGAAACTGCATACAACAACAAAAAAAAAAAATGTTTTGAATTGAGTTAAAAATTAAAAAAATGAACTTCTAATTTAGAAGGTAATTTTCGTTTTTTAAATAAAATATAATACAAAATATTGCAAACTTTTATAAGATTTTAAAAAGCAAAGATGGTCAATACTCCGATAACTCACTCTAATTCTTATTTTAGTAATGAAAAGTCTTGCCACCGAGAATGCCCTTTCCGATTCAATTGATGTGATTGGAATAGTGTTTAATGCATTTAAGAGAAGACAGATATTATGTGTTTTTTCACCTGTAGCCTGGAAGCTTTCGAGTTCGTTTTCGAGATTGTAGTACTTCTTTCGCTCTCTAGTATTCTTGATTTGTCTACCTTGGCTGCTTTAATAGCGGCATCAAGCTTAGAGCTCGATAATTCGGCAATTCATTTGGCTTTAATAATCAGGTTTATGAAGAAAAACTTCATACTTGCAGACTTTGTACTCGTTTGTATCCTTGCCCAATTTGCACAATCTGGCGTCAGGCATTTATTGAAGCTACTGGGCATGGTTAAAACTCAAGACAGCGTAAGCACAATTATTCCAGATATTACAGGTTCCGACAAGTAAAGAATTTTTATAGTCATGCCACAAATAAGCTATATATTGATTATTGACCATTTGTGACATGCTATAACGAGCAAAAATTTAAAAAAACTAATAGGTAGGTTTAAAATTAATAAATACAAATGTATTCTGGCAGTGAATGAGTTAATTATGCTTTCTATTTGCAAAACTCCTCAACCTTAACACAAAATAAGAAAAAAAGTGAATTTTTAAGAAATTTGCGGGATTTCCCGGGATAAGAAAAATTTCCCGGGATATTTCCCGGGTTAAAAAAACAACCGGGATCCCGGGATCCCGGAATCCCGTTTCAGAAACCCTAATGTAAACATATAATATAATAAATTTTTAATTTAAAGAAATATTTATTGAATTAAACATATCTTTTTGCAAATACTACCATTTTGTCAACATTAATATTGTTTATCATTATAGAGATATTTACAATTAAGAGTTTTGAATCAAGAATGACTAAAGGTACATATAGATATGTTTGCCTACGTGACGGCGATTAATAAGTTACTCATTATATAAATGTTTATATGTATATAATGACGATTTATTCATATTTATTATGATCACAATTTATTAATTTATCGATACTTTTTTGGCTTAACAAAATCTTTAATATTTTGCTATTTTCATGGACGATATCGTATGTAGGGATATATTGGCGCTTATACAAATTAACCGCCTCGTCCATCTGGCCGTTAAAAGATTTGGCGAATATTTCGTCCAATATAACACATAATACTGTATTTTGTTTCTAAGATGTCATATCTCTCGTGGGTATAGCACAACTTCTGCTAACATTACAAAGACATTAAAATGTTAAGTATTGTAGGAATTTTCTGAATTATAAATTAATAGAATAACCTGCTGGTACTCGGTGAATCTCTTCATAAAGAAAATTATACATTAAAAGTTTTCTTTGTTTTCAAATTGTAATTATATTGTCTGAAAAGTAAAAGTATGACAACGGCATCTATTGTTTTTTTG